CCAGCACTATCTCTTGCACACCTAGCAAGTGAACTGCTCAAGGTCACACAGGTCATCAGTTGAGGAAATATCGTAGGTTCATAGAATAATGCATGTAGAAATGGAAGGCACCTTTCAGGTTACCTAGTTTAACTTTCTTCATTTTACAGCTGAGGAAACAACCCAAGTTCTCTGATTCCAAAATCCAGTGATATTTCCATTATAGCACATTGCTTCTCTAAAGGAGGTAGGGAATGGAGCTGGGGGCGGGTAGTGGCTACACCTATTATCCTCAAGAAAACCATCTGATCCAGGCTTACCCAATACTCTGAAAACGGTACAGAAAAGCGTGTGTATTAGCTGGAGGGTGGGGGCCGGACCTCCCGCCCATTCCCCGTGTCCTCCTATCAGCCCATTGGTTGGTGCTGCGGGTGGGGGAGAGCAGAACTGGAAGCTCCTGGGCAGAAAGTTCAGACTGGCTCAGGTCTGGGCACCGAGGGCTCTGCCTGATTGGGCAGAGTGGTGCTGTTAACCTCTTGTGATTGGTCGAGTGGGTATACTCGAACTTCACTCAGAGAATTGCACTTTCTGCTTCTAAGCTCCCCAAGTGTTCTGCCGTTGGGGGTGGGGGGACAGGAGGCAGGGCGGTGTCTCTCTGTCCAGCTGTCGGGTAGCTGACGCTATGAGGGTCCCAGTGGCACTCGGGTTTCCCCCTACGACTTAGCAGCGACGGCTGAGCCAGCATCCCTGGCCTCCTCGGGCTAAATAAGGATCCAGCTCGGGCTGGGTAGGCGAAGACTGGGGTCCCGGGGGGACCAGGGGCTACCACGCCAAAGAAGGCGAGGAGGGGAGATGTATATAAAGCCAGGGGCGCGGGGCCACCTGCCCTCCCCGTCCGGTCCTGTGCTGTCTTGGGGACTCCGCGCGGAACGCTAACCTAGCCCGTCGACCCTTTCTATTGGTCCCTTTGCCCCCAGCTCAGTGGTGAGTTTGGACCCCGCAGTGTCCCATTCAGTTTCTGCTCTGGGAGGGAACGGTTGGGTATTGGGGAAAAGTTTCTGACTAGGCCTTGAATTCCATGGTCACCATCTGCTCCCCCAGATGTCCAAAGCAGCTCCAGCCAAGAAGCCGGCAGCCCCACCTCCAGGCTGCACCCTGGACATCAATGACCCCAAGGTGCAGAGCGCTGCCATCCGCATCCAGGCCTCTTACCGGGGCCACAGGTGAGGAGGTGGGAATGTCTTGGGGTCGGTCCTGAGTGACCTAGGACGTTCCAAGGGTCAGTAGGACATCTCTGAGAAAGCGAGGAGGAAGGGAGGGAGGGAGGAGAGAGAGAGAGAGAGACAGAGAGAGAGAGAGAGAGAGAGAGAGAGAGAGAGACACGCGGGGTGGGGTGGTCAGGAGAGTGGGTTTGATCTGGGTCAGAAAGAGTCCTACTGAGGACATGGGCTATGACCCAGAGGTCAAATGAAGAAAAGGTTCTGAATTAGGGTATGGTGTCAATAGTTTGAGGAAAGACTGGAAGAGGAACCCGCCTGGTGATCCGTCTGTTTTGGGGGGAGGATTGGTCTGGAGTTGCGCAGAAAGGGACGGGATCGAGACTGGCATTGACCTGAACAGGTCCCGGAAAGAGTTGAAAGAGAAGGGGCCACCACGCGTGCTGCAGCCTCTGCAAGACGTCGTGCTGATTGAGGGAAGCGCAGCGAAACTCTCCTGTCGGATCTCGGCTTTTCCTGACCCTTTTATCCGCTGGAGCAAAGACGGCAAGGAGCTCCGTGATGGGCCCAAGTACCGCTACGTCTTCGAGGACCCCGACGTGGTGGCGCTGGTGGTGCGCGACGGAGAACTAGCAGATCTGGGCCAGTATAGCATCAACGTGTCCAATCCCTTCGGCGAGTGCTCGGACTCTGCGCGGATACTCGTTGAAGGTACGACCTTCTAGGTCCCTAGTCACATCCACCTGCACTTGGAGTTGGTTAGGCATTTCGGGCTTTTCCTAAACACACTCGTTTCCCCGGCATACCACCTCGATCCTCACCGCCAGCCTGCGAGGTGGGTGGGCAGGTAGTATTACAAAGGTCATTAAAACAGCTTACCCAAGGTCACAAGAAGTTTCCTGACTTCACGTTCCCCACAGGGACTGAGGAAGTGTGCTAACTTTCCACATCACATCATCTTCGTCTGTAGATACATACTACATATTTTCTAGCTCTTGAAGATTTTAAAGAGTGTTTTCCTCACAACAACCCAGTGAATTAGTTGATGCAAGTATTAGCATACTCATTTTACAAATGAGAACCTTTGGGGCTCAGAGGTTGAGTGACTTGCCCCGGGTCACACAGTTATCCACAAGACTGGAATTTGAACAGAGATTGGACTGTAAGGTCCTTTTCAGCTTCAAATCCCATGATGGGCACGTTCCGGGAGAGGAGGCGGAGAGGGAAAAACTTCATCCTTTCGTCCCCTTATCGGTTTCCTCCCCACATACCCTACAGTCCCAGCGAAGATCAAGAAGGGACCAGACAATACCAAGGCGCGCAAAGGAACCACGGTGACGCTGACCGCAGAAATCCTGGGCGAGCCACCTCCTGATGTAGGATGGACCAAGGACGGGCTGGACATTGAAGAGGATGACAGGCGAGAGATAGGGCTCTGGGCAGAGGATGGAGCTCTGGGTGGGGCCTCGGGTAGGGGTTGCTAGTGGTGGCCTGGGGCACGGCCAGCACAGATATCCTCCCACCCGCTCTCTTCCAGGGTGTACTACGAGATCGGCAGCACTAACACTTCGCTGACCATCCGCCGGGCCACAGCTGAGGACAGCGGCAAGTATGAGGTCTACGTGGAGAACAGCCTGGGGATGGACCAGAGTTTCGCCCGCTTGGATGTCTCCTGAGGGAAATCTTCGGACCTTTCGTCCGCGGCCCCGGTGCCAGGGCTGTCACAGCATCCTTTCTTTCTCGGCCGGAGGATAATAAAGTTATGGTCACTCTGACGTTCCCTGTGTCATTTTCCTATGGGGAGGTAGGGGGAAAGGGGAGTCCCATTTCCCAAGCTAGACCTAGCTCCTCCGCCTCCGTATATCATACTAGCGAGGGTCACAGAATGTCAGAGCTGGAAGGGATCTTAGTACTCATTTAGGCTGCTACCTGGTGTAGTGGAAAGAACATTGGACAGAAGCTTCAGGGGAGGTGCCGACTCTAACATTGCTGTGTTACCTGGGAAAGTCACTTAGTCAAGCAATTAGTGGTGCAGAGGAGAGAATGGTAAGCTTGTCAAGTTTGTATCCTGCTGTGTGATCCTAGGCAAGTCACACTAACCTCTCTAAACCTCAGTTTCTCCATCTATAAAGTGGGAATAATAATAGCACCTACTTCCTAAAGTTATGAGGATCAAATGAAATAGCATGGAAAAAATGAAATAACATGTAAAATATGCAAACCATGCAGCTATATAAGTACTAACTATTGTCTGAACCAAAGTTTCTTCATCTTCAATAAAGAAGCATTTATCACCTATAAAAGGAGAGAAAACAGGTTAACTAACCTTTGTGCCTCAGTTTCCTCGCCTGCAAAATGGGGGGGGGTTGATTTCTAAGGTCTTTTCTAGCTCTAAGCTATGATCTTATGACACCTTGGAATAGAATCGAGTCTAAGGTGCCTTCCAGTTCTAATACTCTCCATCACCAAATGAAAGCCTCAGGTCTAGGTGGCCCTGTCCTAGTCTCTTCCTCCTCCTCACCCTCCTCCTTCCCCCTCTCTTTCTCCTCCCTCTCCCCTTCCTCTTCTTCGTCACATTCTTCCCCTTTCCTCCTGCCCTCCTCCTCCTCCCCACACTCCTCCTCCTCTTTCTCTCCCTCCTCCCCTTTTCCTTTCTCTCTTCCTCCCCCCTTCTCCCCCACTCCTCCTCATCCCACTCTTCCTCCCTCTCCTTTTCCTCCCCCCACTCCTTCCTCCTCCTCTTTCTCCCCTTCCTCCCCTTTTCTTTTCCTTCCTCCTCTCTCTTTTCTTCCTCCCCCACTGCTCTTCCCTCTCCTCCTCTTTTCCTTTCCCTCTTCCTCTCTCCTTTTCCTCCCCCTCCTTCTCCTCCCCATTCCTCCTCATCCCACTCTTCCTCCCCCTCCTCCTCTTCTCCCCTTCCTCTCCTCCTTTCCCTCTTCCTCCCTCTCCTCTTCCTCCCCCCACTCCTCCTCATCCCACTTCTCTTCCCCTCCTCCTCTTTCTCCCCCTCCTCTCCTTTTCCTTTCTCTTCCTCCTCCCTCCTCTTCCCCCCACTCCTCCTCATCCCACTCTTCCTCCCCCTTCTCTCCTCCTTTCCCTCTTCTTTCCTCTCCTCTTCCTCCCCCCACTCCTCCTCATCCCACTTCTCTTCCCCTCCTCCTCTTCTCCCCCTCCTCTCCTCCTTTCCCTCTTCCTCCCCCCATTCCTTCTCATCCCACTCCTCCTCCCCATCCCACTCCTCCTCCCCCTTCTTTACTTCTCCTTTCTCTCTCCCTCCCTCTCCTCTTCCTCCTCCCTCCTTCTCCTCCTCCTCTTCCATTAACATCTTTACTCGTGTCAGGCCGCCCATCGTTCACCCCACACCATCTGGGTGGGCTTTTTCTATCCTTTATTTGCTTGCGTGGAACCTGCTCTGTGAGCCCGCATCCCCGCTGCACCTCGCACCCTGGAGGGAGGCATCGTGGGGTGGCGGAAAGAGCCCTGGATTGCGTGTCAGGGGACCTGATTAGCTTTGTGATCTTGGGAAAGTTATATTCCCTCTCTGGGCTTCGGTCTGCTCATTTTCCCCCCTTTTATTTAAGAGGTTAATTTAGAACTAGATTTTCCACGAGGTGCCTGACGGCTCCAAATCTACAAATTTCTTTTCGCATTTTCAGCCCCCAATAATAAGGCCCCGCCCTCCTCCGGATTCTCTCCCCGTCCCGCCCCTTCCGAGGTCGCCTCTCTGTAACTCCCTATGGGGAAGGAAGGGAAACTACAACTCCCGGCATGCTCTCTGGAGGAGTTATCGCGAAGTACGAGAGGACACGTGTGCGGAAGGATTTTGGAACCGTCGAGGAATCCCAGGGCGACGAATTGATGTGAGGGGCAGTTGGGACTCCGGAGTGGGGCAGCTCCCTCGCCCCTGCCCGCGTGCGCGTGCGCGTGCACGCCCCCCTCCTCGCGCACCCTCCCCCTTCTCCGCAGGCGCGGGGCGGGGTGTCGGCGTAGGTGGGCTGTGGGGTGCGGACCTGAGGGAGAGCAGCCTGGGGCAGGGGGTCCGTGTCGGCGAGGTTGGGAATTTGAAGGGGTCAGTCAGTTCCGGGTCTGTGGAGGGGTCAGTGTCAGGTTCAGGGTCTGTGGAGTTTGGGGGGGGTCCCCTGAATTTGAAAAGGTCATTGTTGGGGTTCAGCGTCTATACCGATTGGGGAGTTGTATTTGAAGGAGTCAGTCGGGGTTCAGAGTCTGCACCAAGTCATGCTTGGGGTCCGTAGAGATTGTGGGGGGTCAGAATTTGAAGGGGTTGGTCAGGGTTCAGGGGCAGTGTTGGGGCTCAAGTTCTGTAGAGGTTGGGGTTCACATTCTGAAAGCGTTCATTAGGGTTCAGCGGCTTGTGTCTGACGGGAGTCTTTTCGGGGGTTCGTGGATTTAGGGTTTTGGACTCTAAAGGAATTTGGGGGGTCTAGTGGGAGCAGTGTTGGGGTCCAGGGTCCTAGCTTTGGGGCTCAGCATCTGAATGGGTTTGGGTTTGGGCTCAGGGTAATGAAGTTGGGGTGTCTGGGGTCAGTATTGTGATCACTTTGAGGACTTGGGGTTCAGGGTCTGGAAGAGAGAGACCTGGGAACCTTTGGAGTGTGAACAGGGTCTGCTTGGGGTTTTCAGGGATTAGGAGGTCACCTGCATCATGCTCAAAGCGGTGATCCTGATCGGAGGTCCCCAGAAGGGTGAGCCCCAGGGGGTGCAATCTGTCCTGGGTTTCCTCTTGGCTCCTCTCCATCCCCTCACCGTTGGTGATGCCCTGACTCCTCCACCCACAATGGGCTGGGCTACTTGTAGCCTCCACCATCTTTCTACCATGGGAGGGTGGCTGGGTATCCTGGTGGGCTGGAGACTGAGAGAGGGAGGAACCTAAGGCCTTTACCCTCCCCCCAGGGACAAGATTCCGCCCTTTGTCTTTCGAAGTGCCCAAACCACTTTTTCCTGTGGCGGGAGTCCCCATGATCCAGCATCACATAGAGGCCTGTGCCCAGGTAACCTCCCCAAAGCAGTAGAGACCCCCATAGGAATGCTCTTTCCAGGACCTCCCCATATGCTTGAGTGGACCCTTCCCTTCACCTTTCTCTGAGAGTCCAACAACCTTGCTCTTATCTGGTGCAAAGTCTAGAGTCAAGGAGATCTGAGTTCAAATGTGACTTCAAGACACTAGCAGTGTGACTCTGGTCAAGTCACTTCACCTCTGCTTCAGTTTCCTCAACTGTAAAATGGAGATAATAACAGCACCTAGACAGAAGGGTTGTTGTGAGGATCCAGTGACAATATTTGCAAAGTGCTGGGCACAGTGCCTGGCATACAGTAGGCATTTAATAAATGCTTGTTTCTTTCTTTCCATTCATAGCTTCCTTCTCGGTCCTGCCTTTCCCTGTAACCCTAAATATCTCTCTTCCTAACCTTGTCCCCAAATGCCTTCAAAGGTTCCTGGGATGCAGGAAATTCTCCTCATTGGTTTCTACCAACCCGATGAAGCCCTGACACGTTTCTTGGAGGCTGCTCAACAGGAGTTCAACCTTCCTATCAGGTGTGTGTGTGTGTGTATGTGTGTGGGAGTGTTTGTGTGGGAGGGGAGTGCAGATTCTGCCTCAGTGTCCTCCACATCGGGTCCACTTAGATATCTCTAAGTTTATCAACCTGAAGAAAGGAGGCTCTGTGGGAATTTTTTATTCCATTGAATTTCCGGGGTCTGAGCAGGAGGGGATGGTTTGAGTGGAGATGTCCCTGGGAATAAGATGGATCAGGGGTTTAGGCCCAAGGGAGTGGGTGATTCTCATTAGATCTTGTCTGGGGGGGTCTGATCTTCTGGGCTTCAGGTACCTGCAGGAATTTGCCCCCCTGGGTACAGGGGGTGGTCTCTATCATTTCCGAGACCAGATCCTGGCAGGGGGTCCTGAAGCCTTCTTCGTTCTTAATGCTGATGTCTGCTCAGACTTCCCACTGGGCGCTATGCTAGAAGCCCACAGACGCCAGCCCCGTCCTTTCTTACTCCTTGGCACCACGGTGAGAGAGATGGAAGGGCTGGGAAATGATTCAGAGGGGATCCCAGGGGTGGGTAGCGATGGGGGGGAAGGGGCTTCACCTTACCTGAGACAGCATAAGGAATTGAAGAGAAGCTAGCCCAGGGAAGTAACTTGAAAAGTCACTGGGCCCCTGAGGGCCCTCTTGCTGCTCTTCCTTCAGAGTGAGGTACAGGGAAGGCCACGGTTAAGCAGCACCCTTTACTGGGCAGTTGCTTCTTGTGGAAGTGCCGTGGCTATAGGGGATGGAAGAGAAAGAGTCAAGGCCCTGCCTCCCGACTTGCTCCTGTGTCTCTGTCTCTCAGGCAAACCGGACTCAGTCCCTCAACTATGGCTGCATTGTGGAGAATCCAGAAACGCACGAGGTAAGGAGAGGCAAAGATGGAGAGGGAGGTGGAAGCCTGGCTCCTGTTTTCTAGGCCGCTGGAGTTCTAGACTTTTCTCTGTCCCTACCCTTAGGGGATTTGGGTTGCACTTTATTCTTGTAGGGTGCTCCCTTAACCGATGCCATCTCTGGGCGCTTGGGAGAGTGATTCTTTTTTTTTTTTGGAGTGGGGGAAGTGATTTTCTGGTTTTGATTTCTTTCCCTAGCTTTCGCTGCTAATCTCAGTGACTCCCCCAGGGGGAGCTCTGCTCCAACCTGAACCCCAGTAGCATCACCAAGGTCAGGGACCTTTAGGGGAGCTTGGCGGTCAGTCCCTTCTCACCATTTGTCCTAAAGTGAAGCCTTTGGTTTCCGGGCCTTGTGGACTCCCCATAAATCTAGCGAGCAGCAGTCATCATCCTTTTCCAACCCCTCCTCCCCTCCCCATTTCTTCTCACCACCTTCAGGTTTTGCACTATGTGGAGAAACCAAGCACATTTGTGAGTGACATCATCAACTGTGGCATTTATCTCTTCTCCCCCGAAGCCTTGAAGCCCCTTCGTGATGTCTTTCAGCGAAACCAGCAGGACCAGCAACTGTGAGATGCCTCCCAAGTCCTTGATGCAGACCTCTAGACAGGCTCTCCCTGGTCCTGTCCTGCCTCCTGCTCTTTTTCTTCTTGTCCCCATCCTGTCTGTGCTCTCCCAGCTCCTGCTCCCTCTTCATCTTGTTTGCCCTCTTCCCCTTTGGGTTTCACATCCTGTGTGAAACTGGTGTGAGGGAGAGATTTGAGGTTCTCTCCCATTCCTTCGTGGTCATGTGACTTCAGCAGCACTGGTACCTGAGAGTCCTGCCCCTACCTGCAGCCAGCCTTGGGATTGTCCCTGGATCGTATTGTTCCATGACCTCAGCTCCCAGGGCCTGGGGCCCCTTCATTCTCCTGTGATCCCCTGTGTTGGGCTCCTCACATCCATTTCCTCATCTCACGCAGCCCCTATTTCATGCCTCATTCCTTCACATTTACCATTCTTCCTCTGCCTCAGCTTGTCGTTCCATCTCCTTTTGCTTCTCTGTTTATTTTGGGTGTCTTTTGTCTCTGCCATCTCCCTCTTCATCTTTTTCTGGCCTCACCAGCTGCCTTGATCTGGGGTGAGTGTCTGTCTCTGAATCCAGGGACAGGGGGAGGGATAGAAACTGACCAGGGCTTTAGGACCTGTGAGTGCATAAGGAAAAAGTAGCGGAGGCGAAGGGGGATCTCGGTTCTTGGGTCTTTGCCACTCCAGGCTTTGTCACAGGGTTGGGGCTGCATGGGAGGATAGACGCTGGGGAAGGAGCAGGATGGAGGGTGGCATTGTGGTTGCCTCATCTCCCTGGGTGGTGGTGTGAGTGCCTCATCCCTAATGCCCCCAGGGGTCAAAGTCAGGTAAAACTAGGGCCCACTAAGCCATGCATAAACTGTGGCTGCAGCTGACCTAGAAAACCATATCAGAACATTATCTATGTCATATTGTATTTTTATTTATTTTGTTAAGTATTTCCCAGTTACATTTTAATCTGATTTGGATGCACTTGTGGAGTCTTGTGGGCCACAGGCATGTTTGCTATGTCTGATGTATGATTCTAGATCACCAAGTCCTTGGAATGTGCCTGAGTACCTGGACAGTTCACACCAGGGCTAGAGAACATGATTGGAAGGGTGGTGGGCTTCCTCAGGCATCACCACAACCTTTCTTGTTCCCTGATTCCAACACCTCCCCGATTCCCCTTAGGGATGGCTCTTCAGGCAGTTGGCCTGGGGCAGGGACCATTCGGCTGGAGCAGGATGTATTCACAGCACTCTCTGGACAGGGCCAGATCTATGTCCACCTCACTGATGGTATCTGGAGTCAAATCAAGTCTGCAGGGTATGGAGGGGCTAGCAGAGGGAGATTGCTATTGGAGTGCAAACTGGGGATTCCATATGGAGAAAGCTCAGGTGGACGGGGATGGGCTCAAGACCTGTTTGCTTCTGACCTCCTCCTTCCCTGTCACCGCAGTTCTGCTCTTTATGCCTCTCGTCTCTATCTGAACCGATACCAGCTCACTCACCCTGAGCGGCTGGCCCAGCTCATTCCTGGAGGCCCCTGCATCCGAGGTAATGCCCTTTTCCTCCCTGGAGTCAGTTCAGATTACAGCCCTCTTTTGATCTATCCCTTATCATCTGAAACATAATTCTTGATATCTTTCTACACCTGAGACCCCCAGTCCTTCCCCTTCCCCTTCTTAGGGCTGGTTTGGAATATTTTTTTCCCCAGGCTTTCTCTTTTGCTTATAGGAAATGTTTTCATCCACCCGACGGCTAAGGTGGCCTCATCTGCAGTGGTGAGTGGGGTCATGGATTCAGGGAGCCTAGGGAGCGGAAATAGTGGGAGTGACCTCTTGTCTCTGAGGTCCTTTATGATTTTAGTCCTTGCCTCTGCCACTAACTAGCTATGTGACTCAGCTAAGCCCCAGTTTCTCTGGGCCTCAGTTTCTTCGTTTGTAAAATTAAGAGGTAGTGCTTGATAATCTCCAAATCTAACATTGTGTTCTCTCCGTAGCTTGGTCCTAATGTCTCCATTGGGGAAGGTGTGACTATAGGGGAGGGAGTTCGGCTCCGAGAGTCCATCGTCCTCCATGGAGCGACTCTGCAGGTATGTGGTGGGACTCGGGGCTGTGAGAAAGGAGCTAGGAAATAGGGATGGGAGGGCTGAGTGAAAATCCCATGTTCCCTAGGGTGGAGAGGAGAGGAACAGTCCTTTTGTACTACTTGATTGAGCATATGAGGGAATCATGGTCAGGACTAGAGCCTCATCTCATTGCAGGTTACTGCTAATAATGGCTGCCATAGTTTGCAAAGTCCTTCACGTGTATTATCTCCTTTTATCCTCACAACAACCTTGTGGCTAGGGTCCTATCATTATCCCCATTTTGCAGATTGAAGTGTTAAGTGGTTTACCCAGGGTCACACACACAGCTAGAGGCAGGATTCAAACTCAAGTTTTCCTGACTCTAGTCTGTGATACCTTGCTGCCTCCTACAAGGCTGAGACCCCATGAGCTGTCAGGAAGAAAGAGGCCACTAAGAAGTGTGAGGCCTTGTTGTTGGTATGGAGCATTGGGATTTACCCTTATGGAAACCCCTTCTGTATATGTTTTCTTGTACTTTGTAGCAGTAAACCCTTAGGGGGAAAAAAAACTAAGAAGGATTTTGTGCTGTTTTCAGGGAGGAAGGAAAATGGTTGTGACTTCTCTTTCAGACTGAGCTGGGTGGTGGCAGTGGGCAGAAATTGCCATAGGCGGCACCAGTGAGCCGTGCTGTTGGCCTCACACATAGGAAAGAGGAATGGGAGTGGGAGGGGGACAGGGGCACAACAAGGACTGGGAGTCTCAACTCTCTGGGGGTCAGAGGGCTGAGCTTTGTCTGTTCTCTGCCTGCTTCCTGGATCCTGTCCTCATCTTCTTTCCCACAGGAGCACACGTGTGTGCTGCACAGTATTGTAGGTTGGGGGAGCATAGTAGGACGATGGGCCCGAGTAGAGGGTACTCCCAATGATCCTAACCCCAACGATCCTTGGGCTCGAATGGACAGTGAGAGCCTTTTCCGGGATGGGAAGCTACTGCCAGCCATCACCATCCTGGGTATGGGAAATGACTTCCTGTGTTGGGGTCGGACAGGGAGTTGGGAGGGAGAAGCGTTGGGTGCTAGGGAAGGCTCTGTCGAAGACTGCTGGTGTATGCTAATATCCCTGATACCAGTTTTATGAGACAGGAAGCTGCCACCCATTCTGTGCTGGGTGTAGAACTAATTTAAGGTGACTGAGCAGGGGCATTCCCAGAAACTGCCCCAGGCATGAATACCCTGCTGGGGCTTTCATTCAACAAACCTTTATTGCCTACTCTGCCTAAGCTGTGGGCAGTGGACTGGGGCACCGATGATATATGTCACTCCCAGATGCCAGTGGCCCCTGGCTCTCACCCTAATGCCTTCTCCCTTTCTTCCCTGATGTCTTCTTGTGCCCATTCTACTCACCCTGCAGGTTGCCGGGTTAGAATTCCTGCTGAGGTGCTGATCCTGAATTCTATTGTGTTGCCACACAAGGAGCTGAGCCGAAGCTTCACCAACCAGATCATCCTCTGAAATGGGGGACTTGAGGAAGGATGCCCCCCCACTTCCTCCGTGAGCATTGCTGCTCAGGCCGACTCCTGCCTCTGGAGAGAAAGGGATGGAGTCAGTTGAGCTGAACCTTCAACTGACTGGTACTCTGGGGTTGTGGGAGATATGTGGGTGGCCAGGGCACTCCTCCCTTTTTACCTCCCAATAAACCCTGATGAACTTGGAGCTAGGACTGTCTCCCGCCTATGACTGGAGTGAGGGGGGCAGCTGAGTCAGGGCCCCCCCACCCCCCCACCCACATTAGCATTTAAATTGGAGTCTCTGGGCTGCAGGCTCATGAATAATGAATCTGGATTCATGGTAAATCTCCCCCCCTTCATCCTCTTCTACTGCTCTGGAGGGAGACACACATTGCTTCATATCCCATCCTGTCTTCCCCCCCCCAAAAAATTCACCCAGTAAACAGCCCACACTCAACCCCCCAACTGTTGCCCTCCCCACAAGGCTGAGCCTCCCCTTTGTGGGTCTGTCTCCTTGCCTTCCTCTGTCTCTGTCTCTGTGTCAGGAGCAGAAGGGATTGATTACCAAGGAGAGTGTGAAACATCTAGGTTAGTTGGTTGATACCCGGGAAAAGCTGGGATCAGGAGACTGAGTCCTGGACCAGTGTGTATGGACAGGCTCCCCCTTGGTTTGAGCTACATTCCAGCCCCCACCCTGCTCCGCTTTGCTAGCTCCATCTGCTACCCAAGTTGCACTGTTAGCAGAGAAGAGATCTTTCTCTATCTCCATCTCTCTGTGTCCCCGTCTTCTGCTCCTTGGGCTCTGGGTGGTAGATGCTGCCATGGCTGTGTGGCTCCCAGTGGGAGGTACTGTTTAATAGGGGTGGGGGCAAGGAAGGCAGTCATCCAAATTTCACTATCCATTATAGTTGCTCTGGTCATCATCCCCTTCTCCACCCTGATACTTGAGACTTCTTCATCTCCCTACACCAAGGGACCTGAAGTCAGGAGGAAAAAAAGGGAACAAACTTTGTCCCTACCCTATGTGCCTGTGACCCCTATGTGCTCCCCCCTCTCCCCCTTCCCCCAGCTGTGGGTGCGGAGCTTAGTTGCCAGATGAGCTGGTAATGATCGTAATCTGCTAATTGAGAGGAATCTAATTACCCAAAGAGAATGGGGGGGGTAGGGAGCAGGGAGGAGGAGGGTACCAGCAGCAGGAGGTTGTGTGTTTCAGGGAGAGTTACCAATGTGAGAGTTGAAGCCTGGGCCCCTGGTAGGGTTGGGGAGGCTCAAAGAATATGGCAGTTTTGAGGGACCCACTTGAAGGTCAGCCCTGGGCATCAGGCCAGTGCTAGGTTTAGGGGTTCATAGAAGTTAGGCTGCTGTGGAGAGTAGAAAATGTGTTTTCCTGGCCCTTAACCCCTAGAGGCTGCTCATTAAGGGAGAACAAGAAATGTCAGCTGTTGTCCCTATAACTGTTTCTTACCTTTCTGTCCCTACTTTTGCCTCCCTTTACCTCTAAAAATTGGGTTTTCCACCTCCCCCCCTTTTAGGAATAGAGCTATAGTGTTCAGCTTGGTACTTGAATTCCCTCCCAGTGCAGCACACGTCCCTATGAATGAAGGGAGTTGGGGGGTGCAGTCTGTGGGACTGGGGTCTTGCCTCCCCTTCTGACCCTACTGTTCTGTGTGACTGGTAGAGGCCATGGCAGCTCTGTCATAAATATGATAATTTAATTATTTTCTCAGCAAAACACCGTGAAATCCAATAAGTCTGTGTCAGGCCCTGGCCTCCGGGACAACCCCCCCCCCAGCCCCCATCTCTCTCACTCTCTCACACACACACACACACACACACACACACACACACACACACACCCCACTCATTGGGGGAAGGGGGAGAGGGTCTGGACGTTTTGATGTGTGTGTGTATTGGGGTGGGGGGGGCTGAGGGAAGGGAATAGGAATGGGAGAGAACCTCAAATCTCTCCCTCACACCAGTTCTCTCACTTTAGGGTAGGAGTTGATGGGGGGGGGCATTATGTTCCTGTGGGGGCAGGACAAGAGCTTAAATGGAGGAGAAAGGCATTGAACAGAGGGCAGAGCATAGACTAGTACAGGGAGACATGAGAACATTGAGAAGAAAGAAATCCCTTTCTGGGATCTAGATTCCTTCTTGCTTCCAACCTGGGATGAAATGAACTCTAGGAAAGAGGAATGTTGGGGTGAGGGGAATTTACTAGGCTATAAAATAGGAGGGAGTGGGTGAGTAATGGAGAGTATGGAGAAGGGGAACAGAAGATACTGGGAACAGGGTTGGAAGATGGGGATGGGTAGATTGATGAGGGAGGGGTGGAGGAGGGGAGAGGGCTGCGGGGGAGGTGAACGCTCTTGCCATTAGAGCTTTTCTCCTTTTCCATAAAAAGATTATTCTGTAAAATCAGAGAGGGGGAGAGAGTACTAGTGCGGGAGAGAGGGATGGGGTGACACATGGGGAAGAGGTGGGGACAGGGATTCCAAGTGGAGATAGATGTGGACTGGCGTCAGGAACCAGAAATGGCTGTTCTGGCATGGAAACGGACACAACCCAAAAGTGGGACAGATAGGGCCTAGGCTAAAGATGAAGACGAGAATGGAGTATGGGGAAGGGGCAGAGCCGCCTGAGACTCCTGGGATCCTGCTAACTGAACAACTAAGTTACTCAGAGCCTGGATCCACGTTCCCTTCCCCCTTTCCCTCCCCCAAGCACTTAGCAGCCATTAGCTGGGGAGCAGATTGCAGCACCCCCCCTTCCCCCACCCTATGGAAGCTGGCACAGCTGGGCGCTCCTCCACATCTGCCACATCAGCACTGAACACAGCTGGATGCATCCAGAGCCCCCCCTCCCCCAAAGGAGGGAGGAGGCCGGGTAGGGACAGTTCTGGTGACATCCCTCCTCTTTTGCTTTCTCCCCAAGACAGACACACGGAATCACACTATGACACGCAGGCACATTGGCACACTCACGGTGAAACACAGATACACCCCCTGACAGACATACAAACACAATGTACTGATAGACACAGACGTGAAAACTGACAGAAACACACAATTACTCTGACAGGCTCACACACCTTCTTTTTCTTTCCCATTCTTTCTCCTCCTCCCCTTTGCCTCCCTCACTAGTCTGGCCCTGTTTCAGCACCCTGTTCTTTCCCTTTACTTCTCCCAGAGCCTGGACTCTAGGGAACCAAAGCATGCCCTATTCGTAGAATTAGCCTCTTCTGGTCTGAGGCTGGGGGTGGGCAGCGTCCCAGTAGACTCTCAAACCCAAAATTGCTGGGGAGAAGTGTCAGAGGCACTGCAGAGAGGAATTAAGATCCAGGGAACAACCACTTGCACCCTAGCCTCAACATGCCATGTAATGGCCAACCAACCCTTCTCCTTGCATGACCCACAAGGCTAATTGAAGAGACACCCCCCCACACGCACCTTACTACACCATCCCCATAAGTCTTGACTATGCCCCGGCCTCACCTTGTGTCTGCCCTTGACTCTGGGGGATATAGGTGGGGGTCTGAATTAACTTATTTCATAGGCTTCTCTGTTTCACTTTTCTAGCATGTCCCCTAAGGTTAAGCACTTGCCCCTCAGCAATGTAGGTTCTGTTGTCCTTCTTCCTGAGGAATAGCTGCTCTCTGGAGTATGAAGCAGTTCTGGGCTCTGAGCTTCAAATCGCCTCCCTTGTCAGCTGCCCTCCTCTCCAGATCCTTGTGGTTCCCTTTTCCTTAGGTCCTTCCGAAACAGTTCATCCATCTATCTTTGGGGCTCTGTTCTGTTTAGGCTGAGGCTGCCCTGGGAGGGAATTCTCCAAGGTCTGCTACTTAATGGGGAAAGGCTCTTCCTCTTTGTCCCCTTACTCTGAAGGGCTCCCCCCTCTATTCCCCAAATAACTACAGATTGATTGTCTAACCCATCTCCTCTCTTTTTTTCTTTTCCTGTCCCTTATGATTGTCTCCTCCCCACCCCTGACCTCTCTCTCTACACACACACACACACACACACACACACACACACACACACACACACACACA